GTCCAAAAATGTTAAAAATGGCCGAAACCATGAAATAAAGCTTCTGACCAGGTATTTACTCTTTGCGATCGCGGATAATGCTTTGCGATCGCGAAGAACAACTTTTCTTAGCCCATAATTTGCCCTTCGCGATCGAGGACAATGCTTCGCGATCGCGAAGAACAATTCCCTGCTCTTCCGGACAGCCTCCAATATAATGGTCATAACCTTTTACACACAACTCCAATTGACAAACGGTTTGATGTTATGAAAACTAGACACAAAGGGCTATAATTTCATATGTTTCTCATTTCCTGACTCCTTATACAATGCGAGATATAATCTTCCAAAGTCAGCTTTGTGTATTAGAGACCTTCCCGGACAGCCTATAGTGTAACCGCCATAACTTTTTGTACACAACTTGAAATTCAAATTAATTTACATTTCTTAGAACTAGAGACAAAGAGATACAACTTTCATTTCTGGATCATCTCTAAATTCCTTATAGATTGTGAGATATAAGCTTCCAAAGTGGGATCAACGCAACAGAATATGTGTTCTTCGCGATCGCGAAGCACTGTACCGATCGCGAAGCACTGACAATTTTTTTCGCATTTTACTCATCGCGATCGCGTCCAATTTCCAGCGATTGCATAGAACACTGCTGTAGCCAAAAACCAGCAGCTAAAAATAGCTTAGAAATGGTCCGGATCCACCCCGAAACTCACCCGAGGCCCCCTGGTACCTCAACCAAACATGCCAACCAATCCTAAAAAATCATTCAAACTTGTTCCAATCTTCGGAATGCTCAAAACAACATCAAAACACAAATTTTTCATCGGATTCAACCTTAAAAATTTCAAAAACTCTAAAAATACATTTTCGATCAAAAAGTCTACCAAACCTCGTCCGAATGATCTGAAACTTTGCACGCACATCCCAAATGACGTAACGGAGCTACTGCAACTCTCGAAATTCCATTACGACCCCTATATCAAAATCTCGCCTATCAACCGGAATTCGCCGAAATACTAACTTCGCCAATTCATGCCTAATTCTACACCGGACCTCCAAAACCAATTCCGATCACGCTCCTAAGTCATAAATTACCCAAGAGCTGGCGATCAAAGTGCAAAAGCTCAAAACGACCGGTCGGGTCATTACAGAGTCTTAGTATAAATTACTCAGTATGCCATAAACAGTTGAAGTTTCAGTGTTCATAATCAGTTCAAGAATACATGTCTCAGTCTAGTCCCATTCATTATTTCAGTATTATGTAACTCAGTGTGATCCAGTATTCCAGTACTATGTAACTCAGTATGATCCAGTATTCCAGTATTATGTAACTCAGTGTGATCCAGTATCCCAGTATCATGTAACTTAGTGTGATTTAGTATTTCATTATCATGTATTGTAGTTTGATTCTCATTTCTTAAATGTTGAACACCTGTATTTGGGCCTGAGGCTGCAGTTTATGCTTTATGCATCTTTGGGCCAGAGGCAACAGTTTATGCTTTATGCATCTTTGGGCCTGAGGCTGCAGTTTATGCTTTATGCATTTTGGACCTGAGGTCGCAGTTATGTATACGTATACTTGGGTCCGAGGCCGTAGTTGTGCACACATGCATATATATATATATATATATATATATATATATATATATATATATATTTATTTATTTTAGGCCTGAGGCCGCAGTTTAATATTCAGATAAACAGGTTGTTCACCATTCAGAAGAGGGAGTATTCATATCCTTACTTCCTTTATTCATTTCAGTTATTAGTTATCAATTATCTTTTCAGTTATTAGTTCAGTTATCGGTTATCAGTTATCTTTTCAGTTATCAGTTCAGTTACCAGTTCTCACTTCAGTTTCAGTTTCAATAGTTACAGTTATCAGCTTAGTTTCAGTTTCAGTATTTATAATTCTTTCTTTCAGTTGCTTTACATACCAGTACAATTCAAATGTACTGACGTCCTTTTTGCTGGGGGCCTGCATCTCACAATGCAGGTAATGATTTACAGGTTAATGATTCAGAGCGCTAGGATTCTTGTACCAGCTATTTGGTGATCCCCAGTTCTTTCGGGACATTATCATTACTTTACAGTCTTTCAGTATTTACAGGCAGTCTGTGTTTTCAGTACTTCATTAGAGGCTTCATAGACTAGAGTAACAGTTAGACAGAGTCACAACTTTTCATGTTAAGCAATATTGGCTACAGATATGTTTCAGACTTGTATTAGTGTTTCCACACTTTGATTTTTATCATTCAGACTTTCAGTATACCAGCATGTGTTAGTTTATCTTCCGTATTTAGTATGTTATGATATCACATGTTGATTCAGCCAGCCAGTTGGTTCGCTCGGTCACATGTAGTTAGGCACCGAGTGCCGTGTTACGTCCAGGCCCAGGTTCGGGGCGTGACATCTATGGTACGACTTCGACTCTTGGCAGTGCACAATTTACTTTAATGTTGGATCAGGCCGTACGCCTCGGCATTTCCTATATATATATATATATATATATATCTCATGGAATCGTGCGTGACATTTGGCTATAAGCTAGTGAATCTGAGGGATTTTTCCCTAAATTGAATTATGACAACTTCCTTAATGAAATCCACTATATCTATATATATGCTCCGGTTACGTAGGGAACTTGCTAGTTGAGAGCTTGAGTAAAATTATGAATAGGGGAATTGTATCACGTGTTTTATACTTGTTTATTTCATATATTTACTCTGTTTCATGTTTATTGAGCCGCTTTACTGTACCCGATATTATTGGACGACTAGTAAGTGTCGGAGTCGACCCCTCATCACTACTTCTTCGAGGTTAGACTGGATACTTACTGGGTACGCGTTGTTTTCGTACTCATACTACACTTGCTATGCATTTTTGTTGCACATGCACATGTATCTCTAGTGGCCTAGTGGGCGTAGCAGCATGGTTGATACGGAGACTTAGCTGAGCTGCATCTCTCGAGACGACCCGCAACCAGCAGAGTCTCTTTCAGAGTATTGTATTCACTTTCTGTCCAAATTTGTATTCCGGATAGTTATTGTACTTCATTTGATTTCCTAGTGATTGCTCATGCACTTGTGACAACGGATTCTGGGGTGAGTATGTGATATTCAGTATTGAAAATTGTAAACACTTTTATTTATTCTGTGAAGATTACTTTTTACTAGTTAAATTAAAGGAACTTTATGGTTTCAAAAATATTAAAATGGGAGTTTAATTAACTATTTAGTGTTGGCTTGCCTGACCGAGGTGTCCGGCGCTATCACGACCTTTAATGGATTTTGGGTCGTGACACAAAATCTTTATAATTATACAATATTTAATTATTAAATATTCACATATGGGTTCCAAGCTCGATATTTGAGGCCCAGTAGCACCAAGATATCCTGAATTCTTGTATGTGTTAGTTTTATTATTTTACATGTTAGTTTTATAATTTTATATGTTTGTTTGTAAATTAAATAATTAATTTTTATAATTATATAATATTTAATCATTAAATATTCATATATGAGTTCCAGGCTCGATATTTGCAGCCCAGTAGCACCAAGATATCCGGAAAATATTGTTCTTTTCTCATGTTATTTTGTTACGGTCGTTGACTATTATTAAACAGAGTTTGTGTTTGATCTATCAGTTATTTTGATGTATTTTTGAATATAAGAGATACTTAAACTACAGTGATACTAAGCTAAAAGGTACTATATTTTACTACGCTAAAAGGCACTACATTTTACTACCCTAAAAGGACACTATATTACTTGTCTTTAAGCAATAAATAATATAAACCAGATAAAAATAACAAATACATTTAATACTTCACGAAAATACATATACACAGTTAAAAAAAACTTATTAACATTTTTTTAACAAATAATAATGATTTCTCAATTGAAACATATTTTTTTAGCACACTAATATCTAAGTCCGGATAAAAATAACATACCAGTTTAATCGCAAAAAAAAAAAAAATACAAAACAACATAGAACACATGTAAAACAACTAATATATATTTTTTATACGAGTTTCGACAAAAACTAAATTGGAATACCTCGATTTATGATTTTTGAAAAGTTGAAGAATTGAAGGTTGTAATCCGAAACGAGCAACCACAACGAGAGAAGGCCTTAGCTAGGATGTGGGACCAACACTCTTTACTTTTTATGGGATGGGTGGGGTCTAATCGTATTTTTTATCTCGTTAATGGAGGGGGGGGGGGTTGAAGGGGGGAGGAGGGACCGTTGGTTTCGAATTTTAAAAGGGGAAGGGGGGAATGATTCTGGTTTGAACGTGGAGGAAGGGAAGAGGACGGGTATTTGAAGATAAAAAGCATGGTTTATTAAGGCGTTTTATATATAGCGCTTTATCAAACCACGTTTTAGATGAACGTCTTATCAGCTTCAGGTATAGCGTATTTCGAAAACACATTTTATATAAAACGTGATTTTAAAACGCGCTTTACCATAACGTTAAAGTAAAGTGCGCTTTAAAACCTCGTTTTATATAGTTTGTTCACTAATTTTTTTTTATTTATTTCGGTCTTTTGAGTCTAGAAAAACCACATTTAAATTCCGGACTTCCAAAAATAGCGTCAAGTTACAAGGAGCAAAAGTCAAATGGTCACATCCCAGGGGGTGAATAGGGGTATCAGTAACAGGGTGCAGGTTTGTTTAGCATCCCAAGGGGCTGAATAGGGTTAATTTTCTGCAATTAACAGGATTAAATGGATACAATTAGATTTACGTTAGTGTCATCATTAAAACTTAGGTGTAACAAATGAGAGTATGTTCTATGATGAGGTCATAATTAAACAAGTTTTTATTTTGTTCTGCCCTTGTTGATAATTGATATCATATGATATGATGGTGTTTTTTTTTGGTAATTAATCACTTTTATATTAATCACCTGTAAAACTGTATAAACCATAGCATCGCTTACACAGCTAGCTATCTCATTACAAAAACTCATCTGATATATCCTACCCTTCTCTATACATTCATAAGAAAATATAACTATGAACTACATTTTGAATACTAGTAGTAGCTCTAACAGTACATGTGTACGCTATCTCTCGAGCAATACTATTCCAATCACGTGCCCTTTTTTCAAAGATTCTCAAATTTCTCTCAATCCAAATAGCATGAACTATTTCTGCATATACCAGTCTGAATATTCTTGCTTTTGTGGTCTTGCCTTTAGCATGCTGTATACTCCAGCCCATATGCTGCTCCCAGTTCTGCTTCCTTGTATAATCATGCTGCATCCATTGCATAAGCTTCATCCATATGTTTCTAGCAAAATCACACGTGACAAACAAATGATCTCTATTCTCCTCATGTTTGTGACATAAAGAACATTGTGTATCCACTGTCAATCCCCATTTGATCAATCTATCTGTGGTTGGGAGTCTTCCATGTAATAGCATCCACATAGTATACTGTGCTTTTGACCTTGCACAGTTCTGAAATATTAGACATTTCCACGGCACTCGAGTTTGTTGTCCCAACAGCTGAAAGTATATATGTCGAGTAGTAATAGTGACCTGTTTATTCCTCTGCACCAGATTGTAATCAGCTCTAGCATTGAAGATTTGTCTGAGCATCCAACAGGCTTGCTTGGGAGCTGGCATTTGCATGAATTGTTTCCCTTTGATATAATAAGAATGGATCCATTTAATCCACAACCTATCTTGTTTTGCTTCCACATCCTAGCATATTTTTGCAATAGCTGCTCTATTCCATATATGAATATTCACCAAATTTAGACCACCACAGGATTTAGGAGAGCACATCTTTTCCCAGGATATCAATGCCTTCTTAGTTATGGTATTGGTTGCTGACCATATATAACTTCGACAATATGCATCAATAGTTTTAAGTACCTTGACTGGTAAGGGTAGAATATGAGCCCAGTATGCTTGTACTCCAAAAATGTCACTTTGAATTAGTTGTATTCTTCCTGCATATGATAGTTTCTTAGCTGTCCATGAGGATATTCTTGCTACTATTTTCTGAATGAGTGGCTGCCATTGGATCATTGATATCTTTTTTGTTGACAGGGGAATGCCTAGATATTTGAAAGGCATTTCCCCTTGTCCATACCCTAGATGCAGTAAGATTTTATCTCTTTCATCTCTTGGTACCCCTCCAAAATACACTGAACTCTTTCCCATATTTGCTTGCAGTCCTGAAGCTTGAGCAAAGTGTTTGAAGCATCTGTGCATAGCCTTTACTGATGATAAGTCTCCTCTTGCGAATAACAGTAGGTCATCAGCAAAACTTAGGTGTGTAATACCAAGTTTGGCACATTTTGGATGGTATCTGAACTCTTTGTCCTCCTTTAATCCATGAAGATTCCTACTGAGATATTCCATGGCAATGGCAAATAGGAAGGTGATATGGGATCCCCTTGCCTGAGTCCCTTTTTTTGCATCAAAAGGGGTAGTAGTCTCTCCATTGNGCTACACTCTGTGTATTGTTTTTTTGCACAGGCCCAGGTTTCGAGCAGCAGCAGCAGCATTAGCACGGGAGCAGGCTTTCAGCATCGTGAGACCCGAGGTAGCCTTGCAGGCATCCGCAGGCCCGGCGTCTCTCTTTTATTCTCTCTTATAGACTGTTGCCTCTTTGTATCCGAGACAAATAGCTTATGTGTTCTTTCAGACCCTTGTATTTAGAAATTCTTAGCAGTTCGTGAGTATTGTGACACCAGTCTTGGGTAGAGGCTTACATTGATTACTCTGTGTTTTATTCAGTTTCTATAATTAAGACTTCCGCTTTTATTTAATTTCGTTGCTTTATATTGTTGTCATAAATTGTTAAAAAGACTTATTCATTAATGGAAAAGTAATTAAAATGGCTTGCCTAGCTACTACGAGTAGGCGCCATTACGACTCCCGAGGGTGGAAAATCCGGGTCGTGACATAAACTAAAAGAAAAAAAAAGGTAAAGTTCAAAGAGTTAAGATTTTTGGAATTAAACCTTTGTTAAAAACAAGACTTATGAAGAAAAATATATTAACTCAAAAGGATACCCAAAGCCCATAGTCTTTTATCACGGTTGGACTTGAAATTTTGACAAATCTAATATGAAAATCTTTTTAGTTGTTAGCTGAAGTAAGGCACTAAGTTATAACAACTATGGGATTAACAAAAAAAGAACGTACGACTAAAACAAGATTGTTAGCCACAATAGCAGGTAAGCCAAGTAAGTGAAATAGAGTCCAAATAAGAAAAATCGAATTAAAAGATCTGAAGCATGCTCAGGCCTCACTAAAGATTTTTCTTCTGTCTTTCGCTCTTTAGATGATGTAGAAGCTGGAAAGGGCTAGGACATGCAGACTCCGTATGATTGCAGCATTGCCGGGTCTCAAAGCAGGACCCTTCGCGGCGATAAGAGTCCTTGATGAAGACTCCAATTTTCTCCCAAGGTGCACATGACAAAATAAAAGGAAATAAGAAGAAAGAATTAGAAGGATATCTCATTCTTTATTGAGTAAACATGAGAATAAAGAGGATACTAAGAATGTCAATTATGCGACGTCTATAATATAAGAAGAGTAGACACACTAACAGATTCATATCCTTGCGTCTAGACATAAAATGTTCAAACAGAAACTCCCCATCTCTCATTTTAAGCATTAGGATTAACGGCTGCTAGTTAGATATAATCTCAAAGCTTCATTCCTAATTCTAGTTGTTGACTCGTGTATAATAAAATGGTTCTAGCTTAGTGTTTGAGCTTAACAGAGGCTTTACGGTATTAGATCATTCGTAAAGAAATACTCTTATAGCCGTATTCCTTGTGATTAACAAAATTAATAGGCTAAAATCATTGTTTTTTTAGCACACAAATCTAAAACTACATAAAAATCATTCAAGCCAGGATAAAGAGATGGTCATCTACAAGATCTCTACACAAGGTCTAACAGCAAAACTTCATGGTTTAGATTGACATCTGGACTTATCAATGTGAGCACGTGATTTTTGCCCTATATGAATTACTCCCATAATTTCAAACAAAATAATTTCTTTTCATTATTTGCAATTTTGTGGATTTTCGTGGCATTTTCTGTTAATTGTTTGCATTTGTTTGTGCATGTTCATTTTATTTTAATTAACGAAAAATACAAAAATATATGTGCATTTGCATTTAGGATTTTATTTAATATTCTTAGGATTAGTTAATTAATTGAGTTGTCTTATAAAAGGAAAATCACAAAAATAGTCATTTTGCACCCTTTAATTTTAATTTTCGATTTTTCGAGTAGCTTTTCTTTAATTTATTAATGGTGTTAATTATTTAGGATTAGTTAGTATTTTTAATGAGTTAGTTTGGTTTTTAATTTAACTTAGGATTTTTAGTTTTAATTCTCAAAAGAAAAACAAAAGAAGAAACAAAGGGAATTAGAGATTAAGCTTTTGGGCCAAATCATTTCAATTCTTACAAGCCCAAACGTTCCCCCCTTCAGACCCAGCCCAAAACACTGCCCATACCAGGTCCAAGTGGTCAGTCCCCAGACCATTGAAACGACGTAGTATGGGAGCGTTACTACGTCGTTTCGAGTTCTCCAATGTCAAAACGATCTGGACCGTTCACCATCCATCATCCAATGGCCCAAAGTTCCCCCTCTTTATAATTAATATGTCTGAAATTCTGTAGAGACAAATCAGTTCCCAAATAACCCATCGTCTCCTTCTTCTCTCATTCATCAGAGATCTTTTGAACCCTAGTCCTCCATGGCCATGGCGTTTTAGCTCCAAAACTGCCCCAAATTCTCACCATCCGTTCCTTACACGCCTTCAAACATTAATCCGGTGCCAATCTTCCCAAAATCCCCGCATCTCCACTTCAAATCCGGATTAGAAAATCAGAAAAGTAACGCTTCAGGTCCCATGTTCTCAAGACTCGACTCGACTCAGAACTGTCGTTAAGCGATTGTTTTGCTTAGAACAATCGATTGACGACAATTATGGTTCGTGTCAAGATTTGTTCGTACCAGACCCAACCAAGAGCATTTGACCGACTTCCTTGTCTTCATCGATCCATGGCAGATAGCGTTAGTACTCTCTTTGCTTTCATTCTTTTCTTCTGGTCTTTTGTTTATTTTCTGGTTTTTGGTTTCTCATATTTCCGTGTGATTCGAATCGTTTTAGTTTAATGAGAATTAATGGTTTTAANAAAATCAAACTCTGCAGTCCAGGGCTTCAAAATTATAGGCCTATTGTTAATTGTATACGGTCCAGAATAGTAAAACTCTTTCATATCAGCTTCAAAGTGAAATCTGATGATGTAATAACCTTCCTCATGAAGAAATACATCTGGTTCCCTCACACTTGCCCAATTAACATTTATATATCTCTTCATAGCGTTGTATCCTGGGGTATCTCCTAGAATGTATACAATTAAGGCACATTTCCACTTCTCAGTTTCAGATTCAACCTCTTCCTTATCCAATTGCACACTTACTTGACCATTGACAATTTTCGGTGGAATATACGAGAGAGACATACCATTTGCTGCAGATCTGTTCTTCTGGAATAGATTAGACCATGTTTTAGGGCCTACATCTTTTGTCACTAAGGCTGGTTTCGTCACTCCTTGTTCTTCCTCCGCAATTGTTACTGTTGCATTAGCTACTGTAGCATACAGACCCTGATCCTTCGTTTTTTCCTCCAATTGCACTTTTGACGCAGAAGCTGGAGGTGTTGTGAGATCTAGCTTCTTCGAAACTCCTGAGCTAGACGCACCCCCTGTGTTCCTCCATTGAGCTCTAGTGTCCGAGTTAAGTTCTAGGTCTGGCGTTTGCAGATCAGTCTCCTTTTCTGTTGGTTTGCTATGTGTGGTAGTTGGTCTTTCTGAGCTGGTAATGACAATTTTTTTGGGTCTTCCTCGCCCTCTCCCCCTCCCTCTCGCCATGGATGACCAGGTACAACGCACGTTAACTAACGTGAGCTGAGAGCATTCTAGAGAAAGAAAAATTGTAGATGAATCATTGATATGATATGATATGATGGTGTTCCCCTTTGCTTTTCGTACCATTTCTAACTTAGAGCGAATTCTGGAAAACAACGCCCATTGCTCCCTTGAAAAAAAATGGGCTCTTTAATTACTATAGTATAATTCAACTTTGTTATTAAACTATACATTGTTTCAACATTTTTTTTCACTTTTGCTTAACAAGATTTTAATCAAAAATAAAATCTTTAGTACGAAAAAGGTAAAACGATAAACTATTAAAAATATGCTAAACAATAAAAAAATATCTTAAATCATACATTTAATAGAAGGTACCATAATTTAATATCTAACAAATCAAGATGAATAAAACTTTAGGAGAACTTATTTCTCGTCAATCGTCATCCCGAAAATCATTGTGATTGATGAGCACAGTGTTGACTGACACGTATCTACTACTATCTGAGTATCTTCAGCATTATAGTATATTCTATTTCATTCCAACTGACCCTCTTATATATAATCACTATCAACTAATCAGTTATTAGGTCCCAAAATATGCTCTCGGTGACGTAACTTAATTAAATTTTTTTCTTCTTAAATTTCAGTTTCGTCAAAACAATACAAACATGTTAGGTGTTTGTCCAGATTTTCTTATCATAATTGATTTTCCTATCTCATGAAGGAAAAGGACAACATATTTATCATAATTGAGTTTTTCTTTTCCTAGAAGGAATATAATTCTTCCATATTTGGCTAGTCCTTTTTCTTGTAGGAAAAAGTTTAGAATTATATAAATTGAAGATCAGTACTTCTCATTCAGTAGCATCCACAATGTAGCCGTCAAGGGCGGCCCGACAAATTTTGTGGCCTAAAGCCAAATTTTATGAGGGGCCTTAACTTTTTAATTTTTTTATTTATTTATTTGAAGTCTATTTTTTTATTAACATTATTCCATAAACAATATAGACATTTGAAAAAGAATAAAATATTTATATTTGATTGAGTGTATCAATTAAACTGCTACTCCATCTTCTAATTGTACTATTTTTCTTGATACTTTTAATTCAGAAAATAAATCTAAACCATCACTATCGAATTGATTATTATGCTTTAAGGAACATTTAATATTTTCCAAATTTTTATCATCTAGTGATCTTAGTTTTTACCGCTAAATAGAAAATTAAAAATATTTTTATATGCCTTGAATTGTTCAAATCTATTTGAAGGAAAAAAATAGCCTTGTCTACTATGTATAAAAGTAATCAACTCTAACGGACACTTCGAAAGATTTTGAGATTTCATTATCAACATTCTCATCAAATTGTCACTTCCTATATATCACACGTTTGTTACAAAATTTGGGTTCAATATTCATTTCAAGTGCAATTTCCTTGGCAAAAATCATAGCAGTTTCATA